GTCTTCGATCATTTCCTGGAGACCAGGAATAAGAGTTTGCCTCACAAGTCACCATGTTGAAAGGATGAGCACTCGTGACTCCTTTCAGCTCCGTCCGAAAGAAGAGTTCCAAAGCGATAGCCCCATCTTCTAAAGCACGGAGTTTGACAAGTTTGCCTATCCAAACTAGCGCAAGCTTTCAATGCAGCCATGCGCTCCGCTCTCAATTTGTTTTCACGCATGAGAACTATTTACTGTCAGCCATCCTCGAACGATTGTGGCTGCGTTGAAGGCCTGCTCCCTCCTGGCAACCGAAGAAGATAGCGTACTGGATGATGCGACTGAGAAGAAACGCGTGATCAAGTTTGAGTCGGTGAAAATCCGAGCGGTTTTGATTCGCATGTGTGCTGAGCCCGTGCCGAGTGTGGACGCTCGTGGAGTGTTCGACAGGCTGGATTTTTCGACTGTGTCATGGAACAGTTTGATGCTTGGATACAATGCGCGGCTCGCCGTTCTTTCAGTGTAGGCCTGGATCATAGTCGGAGGAATGAACGCCTGTCAAACACGGCACTTCCATCTTCAACAAGGTGCTGACAAAGGCATCTGTGTCACAGCCACAGCTCGTCGGGAAATTCCTATAGATAGATCTTAAGCTTCACCAGTTTTCCATCATCAACCTTTAGCGCCTTGATTGTATTTACAGCCAAACCATTTGCCATACATTGTGATGAGAATACTTGCGCATGCCTGGCTTCTCGACAGACTCTTTTCTTCTTGCCCGCTGCGATGTGGATGCCGCATATCCATCCATCTTTCGGATATTCTTACCTTAAACCGCACAGGATTAGTGGGAAGCTATGCTGTTTAAGCTAACCCAGCCTTTACTTTAGTGCATATATAAATAAATAAGGTCAAGTCCTTTAGGATCGTACGAGCTATGGCGAGAGCAAGCAAGAGAAGTAGAGAAGACGACGGTATCATGGTGCCGACAAAGAAGCGTCGACTGAGAAGCGAGAGGGCTTGCAAGCTCACGGCCCAAGAGGTGAGGGATCAAAACTTGTACGGCGTGTGGGAGCACCACGACCTTCCGGACAACGTGTACCAGTGCCCAAGGTGCCAATCTTACAACACGCGGTTCGATTACTACAACAACGAGAAGAGTACTGGCAAGCGCGACCAGCCGCGCTACGCTTGTAGGTCGTGCAAGGGAAAATGGACACAAGGTGGCAAGGTAAGGAACGTATCGCTATCGCCCACTGGTGGAAATAAGAGAACTTCAAAGAGCCATGGGGGAGACAAGATCACTCCAGTCGTCCAGGAAGAATTTGTAGGCGAATTATCTCAAGTTATGGGTAATTGTGTTGTGGGTTTTGATCAAACTACTTATTGGGAGCAAGGTTATGGTGTTGGTGATTGTGCCCAACCTTTCTCTCACGAGGCTTTTGATCAAAACAGTTATTGGGAGCTTCTGCCAGGCTTGGGTCAAGGGCCTGTTGGTGATTGTGTGCAAGAAGTGTTTGCTCAAACTAGCGAGCTTGGCGATGGAGTGTTTGCTGATCAAGTTAGTCAGGAGTTTGTTGGTGGGGTTCAACGTGGAGATGTGCAAACCAATTGCTGGGGCCAACCTCAAGAAGTCAATGATGTGTTTCTTGATATTGAGGGATTTTTGGCAGACCTGCCAGAAATACAAGCTTGCTGATTCATGGAAATTTTTGTCAAAAGCTCTTATATATAGTTGCCAATTTTTTCAGAATTTTTGGTTTGCTCAAGTAAACTTGTAGGGGTAATGAATATATCTAGAATATACTTGAATTTTCTGGGATATTCTACCATTTAACAGTTGTTATTAATTTATATTTAATCTTGAATTTATAATTTATAAACACATTTATAAATTATAAACTTTCCTAAGCAGTTTCTATTATATTCTAATTTATTCTACTATTTAATGGTTGATATATAATAAGATTAATCTTGTGTTTATAAATTATAAACTTCCATTTGATCAACTAGATTAAAAATTTGCTGTGCATTGCATGCAGCAAAGCTTGGTTTGCTTAATAATAGTGCTTACTATTCATTAATTATATTGATCAATTTTATGATTATAACATGTTTATAATTCATAAACACAAGATTAAATATCAACTTTCAGAATAAACTAAAATATGCTAGAAAGTGTTTAGGAATGTTTATAAATTATAAATACATGATTAATTTAAATGAATAACAACCGTTAGATAGTAGAATATCCCAGAGTATCCAAGTATATTCTAAGTATATTCACTACCACTAAGCAAACCAATAAATAGAAATAATAATATTATTAAGCAAACTAAATATTGCACACACATTTAAAAATATACAAATTAGGAGTTTTTGCTGAACATGGGCATCTGATGTGAGGGAGGACCAAATTTCTCACCCCAGGATTCTTCATGACTGGTTTGTAGGACTGACTAGAACACCCTCGTCGTCAAGCATTTCTGCCGCCTGTTCTCAAGCATCACCATGCTAGATGGATTGCTGGAGCACACGCCAGCATTTGCCAGGCACATCAAATCTTCTACCTGGTCAGCCTGAGGGCAAGGACCGGAGCTTCTCTGCTTCCTTCTAACTGTAAGAAATCTTTGGTGATCCATTCTAGTTCTCCGATTTTGAACTTTATCCAAAAGTAAATTAGGCAATCTGAGAGGAATTTCGGCAAGCGAAGACTAATGTCTGATACCGCGGCATATTCTGTACCACCACCTTGCTCATGTTTTTTAGGTCATTTGGGAGAATATGGATCTAGAGAGCATATACTTAGAATATATCCACCTCTAAGCAATATTTTGGTTTGTGGTTTGAGTATATTCTAGCATAACATAATCTTGAGTTCCCGAAATTCCTCATAAATGTTGGCAAGTACATGTAATTAAAAGCACAAAACATAGAATATCTAAAAGTGAAGCGACAGTGGTTGCCTCCTCCGTGAGAAGCCGCCTTGAGAACCCTAGTATCACAATCTCTGTAGATCTGTGACAACAAGGGAAATCCATTTCTCAAGAGGAGAAAACTAAGAAGTGTTTCTTACCTCGTCAAGTTCTTCTATGTTTGGCTCCGCCAGACGAGTCTTCGATCATTTCCTGGAGACCAGGAATAAGAGTTTGCCTCACAAGTCACCATGTTGAGAGGATGAGCACTCGTGACTCCTTTCAGCTCCATCCGAAAGAAGAGTTCCAAAGCGATAGCCATGCCATCTTCTAAAGCACGGAGTTTGACAAGTTTGCCTATCCAAACTAGCGCAAGCTTTCAACGCAGCCACAAAGGTGAGAAAACCCCGGATCGTTCCATGAATGGAAACAGCTCCACTCGAGAACCAAGCCCGTGCGCTCCGCTCTCCATTTGTTTTCACGCATGAGAACCATTTACTGTCAGCCATCCTCGAACGATTGTGGCTGCGTTGAAGGCCTGCTCCCTCCTGGCAACCGAAGAAGATAGCGTACTGGATGATGCGACTGAGAAGAAACGCGTGATCAAGTTTGAGTCGGTGAAAATCCGAGCGGTTTTGATTCGCATGTGTGCCGAGCCCGTGCCGAGTGTGGACGCTCGTGGAGTGTTCGACAGGCTGGATTTTTCGACTGTGTCATGGAACAGTTTGATGCTTGGATACAATGCGTGGCTCGCCGTTTTTTCAGTGTAGGCCTGGATCATAGTCGGAGGAATGAACGCCTGTCAAACACGGCACTTCCATCTTCAACAAGGTGCTGACAAAGGCATCTGTGTCACAGCCACAGCTCGTCGCTCTGGACAGCGTGGATGGAAATGCCTATAGATAGATCTTGAGCTTCACCAGTTTTCCATCATCAACCTTTAGCGCCTTGATTGTATTTACACCATTTTTCTAAACCATTTGCCATACATTGTGCTGAGAATACTTGCGCATACCTGGCTTCTCGACAGACTCTTTTCTTCTTGCCCGCTGCGATGTGGATGCCGCATATCCATCCATCTTTCGACTGATATTCTTACCTTAATAGTGGGAATCTACGCTGTTTAAGCTAACCCAGCCTTTACTTTAGTGCATATATAAATAAATAAGGTCAAGTCCTTTAGGATCGTACGAGCTATGGCGAGAGCAAGCAAGAGAAGTAGAGAAGACGATGGTATCATGGTGCCGACAAAGAAGCGTCGACTGAGAAGCGAGAGGGCTTGCAAGCTCACGGCCCAAGAGGTGAGGGATCAAAACTTGTACGGCGTGTGGGAGCACCACGACCTTCCGGACAACGTGTACCAGTGCCCAAGGTGCCAATCTTACAACACGCGGTTCGATTACTACAACAACGAGAAGAGTACTGGCAAGCGCGACCAGCCGCGCTATATTTGTAGGTCGTGCAAGGGAAAATGGACACAAGGTGGCAAGGTAAGGGACGTATCGCTATCGCCCACTGGTGGAAATAAGACTTTAAAGAGCCATGGGGGAGACAAGATCGCTCCAGTCGTCCAGGAAGAATTTGTAGGCGAATCATCTCAAGTTATGGGTGATTGTGTTGCGGGTTTTGATCAAACTATGTATTGGGAGCAAAGTCATGGTGTTGGTGATTGTGCCCAACCTCTCTCTCACGAGGGTTTTGATCAAAACAGTTATTGGGAGCTTCTAGGCTTGGGTCAAGGGCCTGTTGGTGATTGTGTGCAAGAAGTATTTGCTCAAACTAGCGAGCTTGGCGATGGAGTGTTTGCTGATCAAGTTAGTCAGGAGTTTGTTGGTGATTGTGAGCAAGAACTGTTTGCTCAAACTAGTGAGCTTGGCGATGGAGTGTTTGCTGATCAAGTTAGTCAGGAGTTTGTTGGTGGGGTTCAAGGTGGAGATGTGCAAACCAATTGCTGGGGGCAACCTCAAGAATTCAACGATGTGTTTCTTGATATTGAGGGATTTCTGGCAGACCTGCCAGAAATACAAGCTTGCTGATTCATGGAAATTTTTGTCAAAAGAAAATTTATAGTTGGATCCCAGGGTTTCCAGAGAGTTTTCATTTGTTTGATGAGTAGAAGCCTACATAGAATTATATTTCAATCTGTATGTCAAATAATTTAGGATATGAAAAGCCGCAAAGATAAGAAAAAATATATACTTTTTCTTTTTCCTCTCTCTCAAAATAGTTTCCTGTCCACCAGTAAGCCGACGACGAAGGAGCTCACAGAAACCGCGACAATGGTTGCTCCAAGGAACCCGGAGGAAGCCTTGCCCTGCTTTCCCACCACTTTGTCCTCGCCACTGCTCGTCTCCTCCTCCACAACTCCTGCGGAAGGAGCCGCTCCTTTCCTCCTCCTCGGCATTGCCTTGAGAGCTCCGGTATCGAAATCTCTGGAGATACTTCTCATCTGTGACGAAGATGAAAATCCATGTCTTAGCAGCAAGCGAGGAAGAAGGAGAGAAAACTGTACAAGTGTGGTTCCTTACCTCGACTTCTTCAACGGCTGGCTCCGCTGGACGAGTTTCCAACTTCTTGGCAAACGCTCCATTTACGTGGATCTCACTCAGCTTCTTACGAAGATCCTCTCTCTCGCCTTTGATACTAGATATCTGGTGTTCATCACAAAGTATTAGAAGGAAAGAAGAAGACCAAGCAAGAGTTACCTCATTATCCAGCAGCTGCTTTTCCTTGGAAAACTCTTCGCTCATCGCGCTTAGCTTGGCGAGGAGCGACTTGGTCTCCGATGCGTAGCCATCTCGCTGCTGGGCCTCGCTCTCCTGCATTCGCGAGATCGTCTTCTCCTGCTCAGAAATGAGTCGAGCTGCTTCGTCCAGTTTTTCCTCCAGAGAGCTCGCCACACCTTGGACCTTCGCGAGCTCTGCTTGAAAGTTTGATGCCATAGCCTCGGCTTCCTTCTCGAGCTCTTGCACCTTCTTACTTTCGGCGTCTTTGGATCTCGCAGCCTCTCGTTTGGTGGCCTCGAGCACTTCCTCCGTATTAGCCAGCTTCTCCGCCAGCTTCTCGATGGTACTCTCGAGAGCGGCGATCTTCTCCGCTGCGGCTCTCTGGCTCTCCCCTGCGTCAGCCTGATGCTTTGCCGTAGCTTCTTCTGCGCTCGAAAGCTTGCCTCGCAGTTCTGCCTCGGCTTGGAAAGCCGACTTGAGAGTCTCCTCTTGGCCAGCCAAGGTCTCTTTCAAAGCTGTCAGCTTGGAGTTCACAGCCGAGAGCTCCTGCTCTCTTTCCGAGGCCACCTTTTCTCGTTCGCCTGCTGTTGCCTCGTGCATTGCTGAAGTTTCTTCTGCGAGCTTGAGCTGTTGACGTAGCTCCGCCTCGGTGTCAACAGCCGCCTTCAGAGTTTCTTCCTGACTCGCCAAAACCTTCTCTAGAGATGCCAGTTTCGAATGTAAACTCGACATCTCCTCTTCCAGCTCCGCAACCTTCTTGTTGGAGACGTTGGCGAGCTCTTCATAATGCGCCGATTTGCTCTCGGCAGCTTCGACGCTCCCTTGGAGTGTCACATGCATTTGACGAGAGCTCTCCACAACTCCTTCGAGCTCGGAAGCCTTTGCCGCGTGAGTGGAAAGTTCTGCTTGGATTTCACGCAGCTTGTCCTCGAGCTGCGCAGAATTCTGGCTATACTCGTTGCTGGACTTCTCGTGAATCGCAGACGTCTCCTCCGCCGTCCGGAGCTTCTGCTCAAGTTCCTTCTCTCTTTCCACGCCGGAGCTCAAATCTCGCGCAAGAGCTTCGTGTCTAGAGGACGCCTCCTCCGTCTGTCTCGTTAGCGATTCTTGAAGCTCATTCAATGCCGCTTTATAATCTGCCTCTTGCTTTTCACCTGCTGCTCTGGACGCTTCGAGCTGCTCAGCGAGCTTCGCTTCCCTGTCCTTGGAATCTTGAAGCTCCGCTTGCAGTTTTGTAGTCAATTCTGCGGCTTCGTTAGCTTGACTTTGAAGAGCCAGGAGAGACTCTTTTAACTGCGAGGTCGTTGCCGAGGACTCTTCCAAGCTTCGCTCGTAGTTTTGGTATTTCTCGTCGGCCAGGCTCAGCTTCTCATGGAGTTCCTTTTGAAGATCGTCGTGCTTTGCCTGAATCCCAGCTGCAGTCGCCACGTGTTTCTCTGCTGTTGACTTTGCCTCTTCCAAATCACTCCGCAAGCCACTAATCACAAGCTCGCTCGACTTAAGCTTTTCTTCAGAAGCAGCGGCAATGGCTTCGATACTTGTCAGGCTCTCGCTAAGTTCCGCCACCGTCATCAGATGCTTTTGGGCATCACCTTCGTGGCCTGCGGCAGATTCCTCTGCGGAGCGCAACTTGGACTCCAATGCCGTGATCTTGCTCTCGGCGTCAGCTGCCGTCTGTTGAAGAAGCTGTAGTTGAGCTTCTGTTTCCTTCAAGATCGCCTCAAATTTGGAAGCGGCTGCCACCTTTTCTTTCAAGTTTTCGCATTCGGCCTGCCATGACTTGCTGCTTTCTTCAGCAACATCTCCTCTCGCCCGAGCTTCTTGAAGAAGTCGCTCAACATCTTTCGCTTTTTCCATCCACTCCTTAGCCTGTTCCTCTTGGACCGAAACGTTCTTCTTATACGTTTCAACCTCCTCGAGAGAATCCTTCGCATTCTTCTCGAGATCATTCACCGAGGCTTTGAGAGCAGACACCTCAGCCTCCAGCTCAGCCATTGAAGCCCGAGCAGATTCGATCTCCACTTTGTGACTTTCAGCTTCGTCTTTCGATCGTGACTCCGCGTCCACTAGCAGCTTCTCAAGCTCACCCTTGGCTTTGGACAAAGCCTCCAGCTGACCATTGAGTGACGCCTCGGCGGACTTGCTTGCTTCTACTTCAGCCTCGGCTTTCTCAACCTTTTCCGTAAGGATTGCCACCTGACTGGAAAGCTCTTGGACTTTTTCCTCGCCAGCTTTTACCTCGGCAGCTTTGTCCGCTTGTAGCTTCTCCATATCTTGCTGCAAAGCCCGCAACTTTCCTTCCGTCTCCTTGGCAGCCAAGGCAGCCGATTCCTCGTTCTTCTTCAAGTCCGCGACAGCATCACTGGAAAGTTGGAGTTTTTCTGTGAGCTCATCCACTTGTGCTTGGAGGGCAGCGGCAGCTTCTTTGGATGACTGGAGGGCGATGGATGCATTCTTGTCGCTGGTTTCCAGCTTAAGTTGCGATCCTTTCAACTGTTCTTCTAGCTCCTTCACGAGGCTCTGCGCATCGGCGACTTCCTTCTCCAGTTTCTCCTTGGTCAATGTGTGCTTCTCCATCGACGATAACAATTCCGCGAGCTTGGATTCAGCAGCATCGCTTCTCTTGCTGGCATCCTCGAGATTCTTCTTGGCATCCTCGAGCGACTCAAACAAAACGCCAGCCTTCTCCTTGGCAGTCTCTAGTTCCTTCTCCAATTCTTCCTTGCCGGCCAGCAATTTCTCTAGCTCGGTCACCTTGCTCTTGAGAGCGGTAGTTTCCTGTTTCCAGTGGAAGAAAATCGTCAGATCGGCACGGAAACGCGAACGAATCCAGCGAATCTCACCTCCTCGTCCTTCTCGAGCGCCGGTGCGACGACGGCATCCGAGTTCTCCGCATCGGCCATTGGAATCCGAAATTCCTCCCAAATCTGGCCAAGAAATCCTCGTCTCGATCAATGCGCGTCAATGTGCCAAAGAAAAGATCATACCTCTCGGCCCGCGGCACGCCCTGGCGCAGCTCCCGATCCAATCAATCCCTAGAAAACCTAGCGCGCAACGCTGAGCCGCCTAGAACTCTCCTCCCACGAAGCACAGAAAAACAAGACCCTTCAAAGCCCTTTCAATGACATAGGCGCTTGCGTGGCAGATATATCCTAGCTGGCGCACCGACGAGGCAAGCCCTAATCCCTGCTGGCATCATACGTGGCACATTGTATTGAAGACAAGGCCGGCGCTTTTGGTCACAGTCAGTGCCGACAGAAAATTCGTAGAAAAATGCGTGCGTTCCATCTTCTTTTTTTTCTAAACATCTCCTCCACAAACACGAGCACTGCTTTAGAACGATTCTCCACCAAAAGAAAGGAGCGCCATTGATGATCAATGGATGGAGCATCGATCTACAAAGTTTTTCCCTCAATGGTAAGAATGGAAAGAACACTAACATACCTTAGTTGTAAGAATCATGAACTGCGATATATCTCTTCAGTTTTTGTAGCAGAATAATTGTGGAGATCGAGCTACCGGTCGTCACTGAAAAAACTATGGTGACATGTTACCCTCTTTAAAGTTGGAAGCTCTCAATTTTTGGAGGATACAAGCAAAGGTCCCACGATGGAGTGGAAGAACTGTTGAAACGATCGCAACTTAAGCTGGTTTGAAATCCAATTTTCTTCTAGTCTGTGCCCGTGCCTTATTATAACAAGCTTCTTTGTGTACAAAATACCTTCAGATACCAGTATTGGAGGCTGTCATTGATTTACTTCATAGTCAAACAAAGATTATATTTAAAAATGTAGTATTTTTCATATTGTCACTGCCCTAGTGGCAGAAGAAGCAAAACTCACATCCATGGTGCTTGGAGAGCCAATTCCAGGTGTTCTATGTGAATGGGTTCTTGTCACCCACAGGTTGCGTGACATTGAGAAATTGTCCCACAAAGGACGCTAATACACCATGTTTGGCTTGGAATTAGCTTTCCCGAGCTCCATTTACAAGGCTCTCTTGGAGGATTGAAAACTATAGCCGGCCCAAATGTGTTTTCTGGAAGTTTCACAAGAACCAAGCGAACTCAAGCTGTGCCAGTTTTGATGTGCCAACAAGCCTTCGAGGAACGCATGATACCATGTTCTGATCTGGGATACTTGTGTTTGGTCATTACCCGCGGAGCATTTTCTTTCCAATCACAATGGTGAGGATTGTAAATTCAAAGCCCACACACTTAGAGGATTTATCTTAACTTCGATTTGAACTAAGCTACATGCATAGTAGGATTCCCTTTGAGATTGAATTTCCTATGGCAAGCAATTTGTGATTATAAGTTTGGTCTACAGGTCATGTTACAGCCACATGACTAAGGCTTAACACAAAAAGTAGCATTGATATACAGAAGATTCGGAGGAGCATCTTGCACATACCTACTCACCTTCTCCTGAATATCAATGACACCTTTGGTAGCAAGTCGTAGTGGTGTTACAAAATCACGGTGGTCCCCAGATTACCCTGATATGATGTAATTCCAGTCCGACCCTGAGTGAGTCCGATCTGTCCGTAAAAGCTCAAAGATAAGGGTTTCGATCCATCAAAACCAGGGGTTGCTTGAGCCCCAAGATCAACACAAGCTGAAACGGATATACATGAAACCACTCATAACCAGAAGAAGAAGAAAAACATAGAGAAGAAACGTATGTTGCAACCAATGCCAGCTCTATTTGTGATAAGAAATGCATGGAGGCAGACCCTCTATTGACTTCCTTGCATAAATACAAAGATGTCAATTGTAAAATCGTGCAGGAGGAAGCTATCTCTTACTATAAGTAGATTGCATACACTGGTGTATAAAATTACCCATGGCAAGTATTGTAGCTCTGTCCTTGCTTACACTCTCTTTCGGTCTTCTATGGAGGATTCTAACGAAAATTGTTGATCGAAGCCTTCCTCCAGGCCCGCCTAGAGTGCCGCTTCTGGGTCACTTGCATTTGCTGGGTGTTCTTCCTCACAAATCTCTCTCGGATCTCTCAAGTAGATATGGCCCCGTCATGTTGCTCTGGTTTGGGTTTGCTCCAACGCTTGTGGTCTCTTCCCCAGATGCTGCAAGAGAAGTTCTGTGCACTCAAGATCTTGCCTTTGCTTCAAGGCCAAACATATCTTTAGCCAAGTACATGTTCTACAAGGACTTGGCATGGACCAGCTATGGTCCCTATTGGAGATTGATGAGGAAGGTCACCACTGTGGAACTCTTCACTGCAAAAAGGCTCGAGGAATCCAGAATGGTGAGGCACACGCAAGACTATATGCAAAAGCAACTAATGTGGTGACAAAGAGCATACCTACCAATGCTGAGTTCGGGATACTGTCGCACTCCATGTTCCAGAATTTCTGCAAGAACACTAAGAGCTGCAAACTAACGTAAGGAAAATTCGTTCATTGATTGTCCAAGAATAACATTACCTGGACCGTAAAGCTTTAGACGGTAAAGACAAACAGCTCTGTTCTAATCCAGCTCAAGCTGTGCCAGTTTTGATGTGCCATCAAGCCTTCGAGAAACGCATGATACCATGTTCTGATCTGGGATACTTGTGTTTGGTCATTACCTGCGGAGTATTTTCTTTCCAATCACAATGGTGAGGATTCTAAATTAAAAAGCCCACACACTTGGAGATTTTATCTCAACTTCGATTTGAACTAAGCTACACGCATTATAGCATTCACTTTGCAATTTGTGATTATAAGTTCGGTCTACAGTTTTTCCAAGGAGGCTTGACACAAAAAATAGCATTGAGGAGCATCTAGCACATACCTACTTACCTTCACCTGAATATCAATGACACCTTTGGTAGCAAGTCGTAGATGGCGTTACAAAATCAGATTCACAATCCACCCCGGATATGATGTAATTCCAATCCGACCCTCAGCGATCTGTCCGTAAAAGCTCAAAGATAAGGGTTTCGATTCATCAAAACCAAAGAAGAAGAAAGAAACGAAGAACATCGAGAGGAACGTATGTTGCAACCAAAGCCAACGTAACGTAGTGACAAAGATCGTATCCTAGTGAAAAGTATTTGAGGACGAGAAGAATGAACAGATAAGAAATGCATGAGGGAGACCCTTTGTTGACTTCCTTGCATAAATACAAAGATGTCAATCGTAAAATCGTGCAGGAGGAAGCTATCTCTTACTATAAGTAGATTGCACACACTGGTGTGTAAAATTATCCATGGCAAGTATTGTAGCTCTGTTCTTGCTTACACTGTCTTTTGGTCTTCTATGGAGGATTCTAACGAAAATTGTTGATCGAAGCCTTCCTCCAGGCCCGCCTAGAGTGCCGCTTCTGGGTCACTTGCATTTGCTGGGTGTTCTTCCTCACAAATCTCTCTCGGATCTCTCAAGTAGATATGGCCCCGTCATGTTGCTCTGGTTTGGTTTTGCTCCAACGCTTGTGGTCTCTTCCCCAGATGCTGCAAGAGAAGTTCTGTGCACTCAAGATCTTGCCTTTGCTTCAAGGCCAAACATATCTATAACCAAGTACATGTTCTACAATGGTAAGGACTTGGGATGGACCAGCTATGGTCCCTATTGGAGATTGATGAGGAAGATCACCACTGTGGAACTCTTCACTGCAAAAAGGCTCGAGGAATCCAGAATGGTGAGGCACACGCAAGTTTCGAAGCTCATTGACTTTATAGTCAATAATGGTCAAAACGGGAAAGCCTCAATCAACATGAAATTCCTTTTGTCCATCCTCAACCTCAATGTTGTGAGCTCGATCACGTTGGGGAGAGAATTTCACGCTGGCTCTGTGGAGCTGATCGAAGAAGTAATGCGGCTGATGGACTCGTTTGTGTTGGGCGACTGCTTTCCATTCCTCTCGTGGCTTGGCAGCCCCGTGATCCGAAAGATGATCTCGGCTCACACGAAACTGGACCAGCTTTTGCAAGAGATCGTGGACGAGCACAAGTCTAAATTCAAGTCATCAGAGCGTGCGCGTGACTTTGTTGACGTCCTTTTGTCATTGGAAGACCAAGGAGAAATTGACGTTCAATGCGTCAAAGCAATGATCATGGTAAGTTTAATTTCCTTTGGTATGCTAACCTTATTTTCTCTTCGCAAGGACATGATCATTGCTGGTACTGAAACTTCGGCCATCACTACCGAGTGGGCACTTTCAGAGCTCATGAACAGTCCAACATGTATGATCAAAGCCCAAAAAGAGATTGACACAATTGTGGGCCGTGAGTGGATGGTGGTGGAAGCCGATCTTTGCAAGCTTAGCTACATCCACAATGTTGTCAACGAAGTGTTCCGCTTGCATCCGCCAGCGCCAATGCTACTCCCTCACCATTCAACGCAAGACTGCCTAGTCAACGGCTACAAGATCCCCAAGAACTCGCGAGTTTTGGTCAACGTATGGTCAATTGCACGAGATCCAAGCTTGTGGGAGTCTCCCAATCTCTTCAACCCGGATAGATTTGCGGAGAGCTCGATCAGCTTCAAGGGGAAGAACTTTGAGCTTCTGCCTTTTGGATCTGGTCGAAGGATCTGTCCCGGATTGTCTCTTGGCGTAGCCATGGTTTCGTACACTCTTGCTCGCCTCGTCCATGGGTTCGAGTGGAAGGTCAGTGGCAAGGAGCTGAGCATGGACGAGATCTCGGAAGGAGTGGCGGTGAGACGAAAGGTTCCACTTGAAGTTTTTGCAACACCAAGGCTTGCAAGCCATGCCTACCTGTAATGAAGTTATCTTAGAAACTAGCAAGCTGAATGGACGGACATACCTCATTCTCTAATCTTCAGAAACATCCTCTTGAGCAGCCTGGCTTCTCTGGAGACCGTGTTGGAGTTGTGGCCCTCGCCGGGACTCTCCACGGATGTGTAGACAGTCTTGCCTTGGCTGTCCGCAGCATCAAGAAAGTCGTCTATGTCGGCGTATGTCGCATTCTTCAACTGCATCACGCAAGCTCGAGATTAGATTTCATGAATCCCGTCTTTTGTTGCTTACTACGATCATCTGTTTCGCAAGGCTATCGACCAATGCAAGAAAGCAACGCTTTGCATAAAACCACGTGTCTGCTTCCAGCTTTTTCCCATAAGGCTCCAGACTTCTGATAATACGGCTAATACCGAACTCGAAGATTTGTTTTCGCAGTAGAGGGTACCGATCACAAGGTTTACAATGCATAAATGCAATTCCTGCTTGTCTGGATTCTAGAAAAGGAACACGGAATTAAAACCACTAGTAGCCGCTTAAGTTATATGTAAATGGCAAACCTTGTAGTGCGCTCTCTCTTCCTCTTTTTCAATCTTGAAAAAGTGTGTGCGACATTCAGTCGCCAAACAGGATGATCCGAACACAAGTCTGCTGACTGGTGGAAAATACGCTCTACTTGCACGTAATTTTCTTTGTCCCAGAAAAGCTTTGCAATTGCCATGATGATAGGTATATAATACTATAGAAGAGCCGATGCTCGAAAAGCAAAAGACAAAACATTACGAACATCTTACCTCAAGAGAGTCTTCATACTCTGCCAAAGCCTTCTTGTGGCCCTCCTGATCGCGAGAAAGACAAGAATCCTGGATTTGTTTGGTGAGCCTGCGCATGGTTTCACTATAACGATTTGCCAGCTCATTCATCTTTTGATATGTATCCTGTCCGATAGTCAAGCTTAGCTCAACAACATCACAACTAACAATAATTGAACAACCTCCGGTGACGTCTTTGTCAAAATGATGCAGTTAATAAAGTCGTAGAGGTCCTGCATAATATTTGATGTAAAAAGACTAATGCTTGTGAAGTTTATGTGCTTCAATAGATACTTGAAGATAACTTCCGCATGCTCTGCCATTACATCAGCAGCAAGGTCGTAGAATCCATGGGAAGGTTTACAATACAGCAGAAGTAGATTAGCCAATGTCTCTGAAGGAAATGGAGGATTCTATAGCGAGTGGTCAGAATAATCATAAAAGAATAAAAATATCTACCTGCAACAAAAAATTAAGTTTACGGAAGCCTGCAGTAGGATCAACTTCCATATTCATCAGGGCTTGATCCTGAGGAAAGAAAAAACAAAAATAAACAACTTAGCGAAAGGATCAGAATGTACCGAGTCTAACTCTTCTTCTACACGTGGTGGCATGTCAGTGAGGTTTTCCTTTGCGGCCTCTAAATTTCCATTGACGTAGTCAATGGCAGCCTAAACAAAGAACTAAATCAAGTGAGTCAAAAAGAATTTTGATCGGACCTTCAAGTTGAAAGCGACTAATACAGATTCTTTGAGCGCTGGGCTGTTTCCAACACTACATAGCTCAATGCCCTCTACGTGGCTTTACAAACAGAAAATGCATAGTCTAGAATATATGCAAAAGCAACTAATGTGGTGACAAAGAGCATACCTACCAATGCTGAGCTCGGGATACTATCGCACTCCATGTTCCAGAATTTCTGCAAGAACACTAAGAGCTGCAAACTAACGTAAGGAAAATTCGTTCATTGATTGTCCAAGAATAACATTACCTGGACCGTAATGCTTTAGACGGTAAAGACAAACAGCTCTGTTGCAGGTCAGCTCAAGCTGTACCAGTTTTGATGTGCCAACAATCCTTCGAGGAACGCATGATACCATGTTCTGATCTGGGATACTTGTGTTTGGTCATTACCCGTGGAGCATTTTCTTTCCAATCACAATGGTGAGGATTGTAAATTAAAAAGCCCACACACTTAGAAGATTTATCTCAACTTCGATTTGAACTAAGCTACATGCATAGTAGGATTCACTTTGAGATTGAATTTCCTATGGCAAGCAGTTTGTGATTATAAGTTTGGTCTACAGGTCATGTTACAGCCACATGAATAAGGCTTAACACAAAAAGTAGCATTGATATACAGAAGATTCGGAGGAGCATCTTGCACATACCTACTCACCTTCTCCTGAATACCAATGACACCTTCGGTAGCAAGTCGGAGATGGTGTTACAAAATCACGGTGGTCCCCAGATTACCCTGGATATGATGTAATTCCAATCCGACCTTGAGTGAGTCCGATCTGTCTAAAAGCTCAAAGATAAGGGTTTCGATCCATCAAAACCAGGGGTTGCTTGAGCCCCAAGATCAACACAAGCTGAAACGGATATACATGAAACCACTCATAACCAGAAGAAGAAGAAGAAAAACATAGAGAAGAACGTATGTTGCAACCAATGCCATCTCTATTTGTGATAAGAAATGCATGGAGGCAGACCCGCTATTGACTTCCTTGCATAAATACAAAGATGTCAATTGTAAAATCGTGCAGGAGGAAGCTATCTCTTACTACACACTGGTGTGTAAAATTACCCATGGCAAGTATTATAGCTCTGTTCTTGCTTACACTGTCTTTCGGAGGATTCTAACGAAAATTGTTGATCGAAGCCTTCCTCCAGGCCCGCCTAGAGTGCCGCTTCTGGGTCACTTGCATTTGCTGGGTGTTCTTCCTCACAAATCTCTCTCGGATCTCTCAAGTAGATATGGCCCCGTCATGTTGCTCTGGTTTGGTTTTGCTCCAACGCTTGTGGTCTCTTCCCCAGATGCTGCAAGAGAAGTTCTGTGCACTCAAGATCTTGCCTTTGCTTTAAGTAAGGACTTGGGCTGGACCAGCTATGGTCCCTATTGGAGATTGATGAGGAAGGTCACCACTGTGGAACTCTTCACTGCAAAAAGGCTCGAGGAATCCAGAATGGTGAGGCACACGCAAGTTTCGAAGCTCATGGACTTTATAGTCAATAATGGTCAAAACGGGAAAGCTCAATCGACATGAGATTCCTTTTCTCCATCCTCAACCTCAATGTTGTGAGCTTGATCACGTTTGGGAGAGAATGTCACACTGGCTCTGTGGAGCTGATGGAAGAAGTAATGCAGCTGATGGGCTTGTTTGTGTAGGGCGACTGCTTTCCATTCCTCTCGTGGCTTGGCAGCCCCGTGATCCGAAAGATGATCTCGGCTCACTCGAAACTCGAATCTCGTGGGGGTCAGAAGATCCAACACTTGGGCGACACACTGCACTCTCGGAATGCAGCCGTTGGTGTTCCAGGTCTTCTTCAGCGTATTGGGATCTGTAGTGGTGTCTTTCCCATGCTGTCGAGACTTGGTGGGATTGATGGTATGAGCATTGCTGATGATGATCGTCTGGGGCCGTTGGCTGTTTGGTTGTCGCGTGGTAAAGCTGCCGGCCTCCTCCATTGTTGGTAGCTGGGAGGCGTGGGGGTTCCTAGCAACGCACCACCATCATAGTCCAACTGGTGAATGCTTGCGATTGGGACTCCCGTGGTAAAGCTGCCGGCCCCTCCATTGTTGGTAGCTGGGAGGCGTGGGGGTTCCTAGCAACGCACCACCATCATAGTCCAACTGGTGAATGCTTGCGATTGGGACTCCCGTGCTGATGGTGTGTGCCCTAGAGAGGCATCCTTCGATCACGTCATTCCGATTCCATTCGCAAGAACACCTGGCCTCTTGGTGCATGATGAGGAGTAGCCAGTGAGGACAAGGAAGATTCTGTGCCTTGTTCCCAAGTTTAATATGGGGTTGGCACCCCAGAGAACCGGAAGGCACCGCAAAGTGATCCACCGGGAACATTTTAGTTGTACTGGGTCGTGTTTTGCATACGATCATCCTGTTCTGCCACCTGTCCCCTTTCGGTGATGTGAGTAAGAGGGCCGTGAGAGAGCCACATTGCTATGCCCCAATCGTTTCGTAACAGCAAAGGCAGGATGATGATATGAGCAAGGTGGTGATGCAACTTGATGAGACATTAGCCGGTCTTGATGGGGAAAATTTCATGTACCTAGGCAGGCTGATGATGGCCTTGTGGTCTCGCAGTCGTGTTTATAAACTTTTGTCCTTGTGGTCATTGCTGGTAATCGATCAGTTGTCATAGTCGTCTCACGTTCATCGCCGTAGGTCTTCGCTGGTCATTGGTGCCGGTCATTGGCGATTTGAAATTTTCCTGCTGTTGGGCTCTCCAAGCTCCTCGGCTCCCTTTGCTCGCCATTCACCATGTATGTTGCTCTCGATAAGCATCTGCCATTTCTCGCCATACCCATCATCTAGAAGCGCTCCTTGCCAAGAGAAGTTCATACTCGCCCACAGTTCCTTGCCAGGAACAAGAGGCGACGCCATATCAACACGTTTTCCGTTCTACCGAGGCATCCAAATCCTCTCTGAGAGAAACACGCTTCGCTGCCATAGCCGCACTTCACTCCTCGTCTAAGAGCAAGTAGACATACGCCCAGCACCCAGCCTCTCCTTGTCGAAGAAAGAAGTCTCCGAGAGACCAGAACACCCTGTGAGAGTGATGTCACGAATTGAAACCCGTCACTGCTGCGGAGATCTCGCCAGGCAGCTGTGGATGTTCGCCATCAAACCGTAAGCATCTCCTTTGGCTCCCAAATAGTACGACGAAATTGTAATATATTGGTCTTTAGCAGAATGAAGAGGCCGAAGATTTGATGCGAAAGATTGAAAAAGAGGAAGAGAGAGCGCACTACGAGGTTTGCCATTTAGATATAACTTAAGGAGTGGTTTTAATTCCGTGTTCCTTTTCTAGAATCCAGCGGATCAACTGACCTTCATGTCGGCAATGTTTGCCTCGAGCCACACGGGGCTGGTAGGCCTGGAATGCTTCCTGGAGATGGAGGCCGCAGGAATTGCATGTATGCATTGTAAACCTTGTTATCGGTACCCTCTACTGCGCAAAACAAAACTTCGAGTTCGGTATTAGCCGTATCATCAGAAGTCTGGAGCCTTATGGGAAAAAGCTGGAAGCAGACACGTGGTTTTATGCAAAGCGTTGCTTTCTTGCATTGGTTGATAGCCTTGCGAAACAGATGATCGTGGTAAGCAACAAAAGACGAGGCACGGATTCATGAAATCTAATCTCAAGTTTGCGTGATGCAGTTGAAGGATGCGACATACGCCGACATAGACGACTTTCTTGATGCTGCGGACAGCCAAGGCAAGACTGTCTACACATCCGTGGAGAGTCCCGGCGAGGGCCAGAACTCCAACACGGTCTCCAGAGAAGCCAGGCTGCTCAAGAGGATGTTTCTGAAGATTAGAGAATGAGGTATGTCCGTCCATTAAGCTTGCTAGTTTCTAAGATAACTTCATTACAGGTAGGCATGGCTTGCAAGCCTTGGTGTTGCAAAAACTTCAAGTGGAACCTTTCGTCTCACCGCCACTCCTTCCGAGATCTCGTCCATGCTCAGCTCCTTGCCACTGACCTTCCACTCGAACCCATGGACGAGGCGAGCAAGAGTGTACGAAACCATGGCTACGCCAAGAGACAATCCGGGACAGATCCTTCGACCAGATCCAAAAGGCAGCAGCTCAAAGTTCTTCCCCTTGAAGCTGATCGAGCTCTCCGCAAATCTATCCGGCTTGAAGAGATTGGGAGACTCCCACAAGCTTGGATCTCGTGCAATTGACCATACGTTGACCAAAACTCGCGAGTTCTTGGGGATCTTGTAGCCGTTGACTAGGCAGTCTTGCGTTGAATGGTGAGGGAGTAGCAATGGCGCTGGCGGATGCAAGCGGAACACTTCGTTGACAACATTGTGGATGTAGCTAAGCTTGCAAAGATCGGCTTCCACCACCATCCGCTCACGGCCCACAATCGTGTCAATCTCTTTTTGGGCTTTGATCATACATGTTGGACTGTTCATGAGCTCTGAAAGTGCCCACTCGGTAGTGATGGCCGAAGTTTCAGTACCAGCAAGGATCATGTCCTTGCGAAGAGAAAATAAGGTTAGCATAACCAAAGGAAATTAAACTTACCATGATCATTGCTTTCACGCATTGAACGTCAATTTCTCCTTGGTCTTCCAATGACAAAAGCACGTCAACAAAGTCACCCGCACGCTCTGATGACTTGAATTTAGACTTGTGCTCGTCCACGATCTCTTGCAAAAGCTGGTCCAGTTTCGTGTGAGCCGAGATCATCTTTCGGATCACGGGGCTGCCAAGCCACGAGAGGAATGGAAAGCAGTCGCCCAACACAAACGAGCCCATCAGCCGCATTACTTCTTCGATCACCTCCACGGAGCCAGCGTGAAATTCTCTCCCAAACGTGATCGAGCTCACAACATTGAGGTTGAGGATGGACAAAAGGACTTTCATGTTGATTGAGGCTTTCCCGTTTTGACCATTATTGACTATAAAGTCAATGAGCTTCGAAACTTGCGTGTGCCTCACCATTCTGGATTCCTCGAGCCTTTTTGCAGTGAAGAGTTCCACAGTGGTGACCTTCCTCATCAATCTCCAATAGGGACCATAGGTTGTCCATCCCAAGTCCTTACTATTGTAGAACACGTACTTGGCTACAGATATCTTTGGCCTTGAAGCAAAGGCAAGATCTTGAGTGCACAGAACTTCTCTTGCAGCATCTGGGGAAGAGACCACAAGCGTTGGAGCAAAACCAAACCAGAGCAACATGACGGGGCCATATCTACGTGAGAGATCCGAGAGAGATTTGTGAGGAAGAACACCCAGCAAATGCAAGTGACCCAGAAGCGGCACTCTAGGCGGGCCTGGAGGAAGGCTTCGATCAACAATTTTCGTTAGAATCCTCCATAGAAGACCAAAAGACAGTGTAAGCAAGAACAGAGCTACAAAACTTGCCATGGATAAATTTACACACCAGTGTGTGCAAGCTTATGTAGTAAGAGATAGCTTCCTCCTGCACGATTTTATGATGGTAACATCTTTGTAGTTTTTCAAGGAAGTCAATAGAATTTATGAATTCTATTGACTCTATGAATTTCTTATCTCAAATAGTGTTTATTCTTCTCATTGCAAACTATTTTTCAGTCACTTATAAGTTGATAGTTTAAGGTTAAAGGATACAATCTTTGTCGTTACCTGGCTGGTCATAATGTATGAAATGCAGAGATTCACGAGCACAATTGCTGTGACACTGAGAATGTCATCTCCCGCTTTCTTTACAATCGGTTCATAGTAATGGATTGCTTCTTTGTAGCGATTATCCTGTTAGATGCACAATGAGCATAGATAGCAAATACGATTAGCTCACCTGCATAAAGAAAGTGTGTGCGACATTCAGTCGCCAAACAGGATGATCCGAACACAAGTCTGCTGACTGGTGGAAAATACGCTCTACTTGCACGTAATTTTCTTTGTCCCAGAAAAGCTTTGCAATTGCCATGATGATAGGTATATAATACCATAGAAGAGCCGATGCTAGAAAAACAAAAGACAAAACATTACGAACATCTTACCTCAAGAGAGTCTTCATACTCTGCCATCGTGAGAAAGACAAGAATCCTGGATTTGTTTGGTGAGCCTGCGCATGGTTTCACTAACGATTTGCCAGCTCATTCATCTTTTGATATGCATCCTGTCCGATAGTCAAGCTTATCTCAACAACATCACAACTAACAATAATTGAATAACTTCCGGTGAAAATGATGCAGTTAAAAGTCGTAGAGGTCCTGCATAATATTAAAAGTAAAAAGACTAATGCTTGTGAATTTTATGTGCTTCAAGCGTAACTGAGATGGATACTTGAAGATAACTTCCGCATGCTCTGCCATTACATCAGCAGCAAGGTCGTAGAATCCATGGGAAGGTTTACAATACAGCAGAAGTAGATTAGCCAATGTCTCTGAAGGAAATGGAGGATTCTATAGCGAGTGGTCAGAATAATCATAAAAGAATAAAAATATCTACCTGCAACAAAAAATTAAGTTTACGGAAGCCTGAAACTTCCATATTCATCAGGGCTTGATTGTGAAGCGTGACCTGAGGAAAGGAAAAACAAAAATAAACAACTTTCTGATAGCGGAAGTATCAGAAAGTACTGAGTCTAACTCTTCTTCTGCACGTGGTGGCATGTCAGTGAGGTTTTCTTTTGCGGCCTCTAAATTTCCATTGACGTAGTCAATGGCAGCCTAAACAAAGAACTAAATCAAGTGAGTCAAAAAGAATTTTGATCGGACCTTCAAGTTGAAAGCTTCAACTGATGCAGATTCTTTGAGCGCTGGGCTGTTTCCAACGCTACATAGCTCAATGCCCTCTACGTGGCTTTACAAACAGAAAATGTATAGTCTAGAATATATGCAAAAGCAACTAATGTGGTGACCAAGAGCATACCTACCAATGCTGAGTTCGGGATACTGTCGCACTCCATGTTCCAGAATTTCTGCAAGAACACTAAGAGCTGCAAACTAACGTAAGGAAAATTCGTTCATTGATTGTCCAAGAATAACATTACCTGGACCGTAATGCTTTAGACGGTAAAGACAAACAGCTCTGTTCTAATCCAGCTCAAGCTGTGCCAGTTTTGATGTGCCAACAAGCCTTCGAGAAACGCATGATACCATGTTCTGATCTGGGATACTTGTGTTTGGTCATTACCTGCGGAGTATTTTCTTTCCAATCACAATGGTGAGGATTCTAAATTAAAAAGCCCACACACTTGGAGATTTTATCTCAACTTCGATTTGAACTAAGCTACACGCATTATAGCATTCACTTTGAGATTGAGTTTTGGCAAGCAATTTGTGATTATAAGTTCGGTCTACAGTTTTTCCAAGGAGGCTTGACACAAAAGATAGCATTGAGGAGCATCTAGCACATACCTACTTACCTTCACCTGAATATCAATGGCACCTTTGGTAGCAAGTCGTAGATGGCGTTACAAAATCAGATTCACAATCCACCCCGGATATGATGTAATTCCAATCCGACCCTCAGCGATCTGTCCGTAAAAGCTCAAAGATAAGGGTTTCGCTTCATCAAAACCAAAGAAGAAGAAAGAAACGAAGAACATCGAGAGGAACGTATGTTGCAAACAAAGCCAACGTAATGTAGTGACAAAGATCGACTGACTGAAAAGTATTAGGACAAACACTATTTGTGATAAGAAATGCATGGAGGCAGACCCTCTATTGACTTTCTTGCATAAATACAAAGATGTCAATTGTAAAATCGTGCAGGAGGAAGCTATCTCTTACTATAAGTAGATTGCACACACTGGTGTGTAAAATTACCCATGGCAAGTATTATAGCTCTGTTCTTGCTTACACTGTCTTTCGGTCTTCTGTGGAGGATTCTAACGAAAATTGTTGATCGAAGCCTTCCTCCAGGCCCGCCTAGAGTGCCGCTTCTGGGTCACTTGCATTTGCTGGGTGTTCTTCCTCACAAATCTCTCTCGGATCACTCAAGTAGATATGGCCCCGTCATGTTGCTCTGGTTTGGGTTTGCTCCAACGCTTGTGGTCTCTTCCCCAGATGCTGCAAGAGAAGTTCTGTGCACTCAAGATCTTGCCTTTGCTAAAGATATCTTTAGCCAAGTACATGTTCTACAATGATAAGGACTTGGCATGGACCAGCTATGGTCCCTATTGGAGATTGATGAGGAAGGTCACCACTGTGTCACCACTGTGGAACTCTTCACTGCAAAAAGGCTCGAGGAATCCAGAATGGTGAGGCACACGCAAGTGTCGAAGCTCATTGACTTTATAGTCAATAATGGTCAAAACGGGAAGCCTCCATCAACATGAAATTCCTTTTCTCCATCAACCTCAATGTTGTGAGCTCGATCACGTTTGGGAGAGAATGTCACACTGGATTTCTGGAGCTGATCGAAGAAGTAATGCAGCTGATGGGCTCGTTTGTGTTGGGCGACTACTTTCCGTGGCTTGGCAGCCCCGCGATCCGAAAGATGATCTCGGTTCACACGAAACTGGACCAGCTTTTGCAAGAGATCGTGGACGAGCACAAGTCTAAATTCAAGTCATCAGAGCGTGCGCGTGACTTTGTTGACGTTCTTTTGTCATTGGAAGACCAAGGAGAAATTGACGTTCAATGCGTGAAAGCAATGGTCATGGTAAGTTTAATTTCCTTTGGTATGCTAACCTTATTTTCTCTTCGCAAGGGCATGATGCTTGCTGGTACTGAAACTTCGGCCATCACTACCGAGTGGGCACTTTCAGAGCTCATGAACAGTCCAACATGTATGATCAAAGCCCAAAAAGAGATTGACACAATTGTGGGCCGTGAGCGGATGGTGGTGGAAGCCGATCTTTGCAAGCTTAGCTACATCCACAATGTTGTCAACGAAGTGTTTCGCTTGCATCCGCCAGCGCCATTGCTACTCTCTCGCCATTCAACGCAACACTGCCTAGTCAACGGCTACAAGATCCCCAAGAACTCGCGAGTTTTGGTCAACGTATGGTCAATTGCACGAGATGCAAGCTTGTGGGAGTCTCC